CAACTGAATTTTTCTCTTTGACATACATACTCATGTGTCTAGGTATGTCACACCAGAGTAGAAATGTTTTGCATATCTGTCTTATCTTATCTGCCATATCTGGCACTGGGTGCCATGGACATTAAAGCATTAGATTGTGATTATTGCCTTCAAATGTAAAAGCAGATATGCACCATAATGGAACCCATAACTTCACAGTCTCAACTCAATGAGCAAGTTGATGAACATTAAAGCTGACATGTTCCTCACCATACAATAATTCTACCTGTATTACAAACTTGTGTAAAGCAACATCAGCCCTTTACAAGCATTGTCGAGGAATGTTGTTCATTAGGAGTGTATACATTGCATAAACCAGAAGTACCCAGTTCATTTTGTCAAGTGAAGAAGGTGTACAAGTAAGTTCTTTGGGGGGTTTCAGAGCAAGCATTCGTCTGTTCAGGACATTTACTGTAGTTATGAACCAATGTACCAGTATGATAGGAGCTGTCTATCCACAAGGTAAGAAATTGCCGCACAATACCTAAGAGAACTGCATGCATATAATCTGGTACAAAGCTGGTTATGATGTTAAAGAGTGTCAGGAAAAGAAGAGGCCTTTCATGCCTTGTACAGGACAGCCCTCCCATGAGGCCTCAATTGCATCATCCTCCCACTGTTGGAGATGTCTACAATCTGCAGGTGGATCTAGGCAAGGGTAGGCATTAACATAGCTATGACCTTTAGCCACTCACACACCAGGATGAAGACACCAGTCACAGCCATACTTACCATTAAACTGTATACTGTGTTTCAGCAATGGTCTGGCGACAGAATCACAGGCACTAACAACAGCAAACACCCTGCTGTTACGAATCACATCACCATCTACTCTAGGCCCTTATCCTTCATACTTTCCATTTCATCTATGAACGGCTTCAGAAATGTTTTCATCACTGGCTTAGACTTTCCAAACCGAAGTGAGGACACTAGGACATGTTCTTTCCTATAGTAGGTGGTAATTCCCTGATAGTGAATGGAATTGGCCACAAGGAATACTGAGATGACTCAAAGACAGGTACTCCATCACAATTCCAAAGTAAGGAGAGATCCCATTTTCCAATGGTGCCATTTTGAATGTAGCCTCTCATGATGTCCCCATCAAATATATCATGAATTGTTTTTACCCAAACCCAGGAACTTTTGTTTATAACTGTTTGCAAATTTTTCACATGGTTCTCAAGTAAATCTCTCAGTTGAGCAGCTAGTGGTAGATAAGAGTTACAGTTGAAGGCTTTTGGCATTATTGACACATACCGACTGAGTTGCTGTCCTTAGAAATGTACTCATGGCAAGATTCACAGTAGAAGTGGATCTCAAAACTATTGTTGATGGACACAAATGATTTTTTAAATAGGAACTTTGTGGCAAGTAATGTAGCAGGAAACAGGATATCTAGCATTGTCAGGAAATCACTGAGACCTTCTCCATTTAGTCTATGAAGCAGAATGAAGACCAACATCATCAAGATGGTATGGCCTTTTGTGACGCCACCCCCTGAATATATCGGCTCATCACCACCATTCAGATGGAAAGGTTCCTAAAATATAAAAACCATTTATTGAGTTCTCTACCTCACTTTGAGGGTGCTACAAAGACATTGCGGTTGCGGGGGAAGACAATGCAAGTGAAAACGTGTACACGTCTATACAGCAAAACTGCCCCCCAGTAAGCATACAGTGCTTAATGAATCTTTATCTCCATCCCGAAGCGCAAAGAATACATATATATACAGTTTACAGTGCTTAATACTGTATATATTTTAGCATATTAATATTTTAGCATATTAATATCTATCCTTACTATTTATTATACACAACAGACCTAATATGTTTGAATATAAAGAACTTGTATGATCTAACCTAATTGTCCTAGCACGTTTGTCTGCATCAGGACCAGAATTTCTGTCCAGTCATCCCCAGTGATGGACCAGCACCTGCCTTTTCTTTTGCATCTGGCCTCATCAACCATCAACAACCATACAGTATCACCTTGGAGTACTATCCCTGCACAGAACAGATATTGTCTATACTGTGATCTTTGCACATCCTGCTCAGCAGGAGTTTCATCAACACTTTTGTACATAGTTTTGTTCATTGTTTTATTTTTTGAATATGACATTGTTTGGTTAGTGACCATCGGTTGTACACTACTTTTCACGATGCATTGTGGGTTACTATGAGTCCACTATATAGGGTACAATAATGTGAGTGATATAGTGAGTGATTTTGGACACAGCCACGGTAAAACTGTGCTTCCTAAAAGTAATTTTGATATCTTTTGTTCGGTTAGCACCTTTCATTTGATTAATTAAGATTACTTTGAGCATTATCAGAGATTGTTATTGAGCTAAAAATCCAGTATTTCATTAATGGTAATAACCTTTCATTTTTGGAGCAAATGGAAAATTGTATGTTATCAAAAGATGGTAATATTTTATTTGTTTTCTCTTTCTGTTAGCTCTTACAGTGTGTCCAAGGTGTGTTAACGGTGTACACAGTGAGTAAAGAGAACTAGTAGGAAGAGAACAGTACGAAGGAATGTTTGAAATTAAAATGACGTGAACCATGTGAATATACAGCTGCAGCTCAAAAAATTTTAATATTGTGGAAAAGTAAAAGTAAAAGTAATTTAATTCAAAAAGTAAAAACTTTCATTCATTACATTACAAGTAGAGTGAAATATTTTAAGCCTTTTTTTGTTTTGATTTCGATGACAACAGCTTACAGTTCATGGAAATCAAATTTCTAGTATCTCAAAATATTAGAATATTTCCCACAATCAATCAAAAAAAGATTTACAATACAGAAATGTTCAAGTTCTGAAAAGTATGTTCATTTATGCACACAAATTATTGCGTCAATGTGGCGTGGCATGGAGGCATTCAGCCTGTGGCACTGCTGAGGCGTTATTGAAGCCCAGGTTGCTTTGATAGGGGCTTTGATTGTCAGGTTGGGTATTTTTCACCATTGATTCTCTACGGGGTTCAGGTCAGGCGAGTAGGCTGGCCAATCAAGTGCAGTAATATCATGGTCAGCAAACCAGTTAATAACATTCTTAAAATTATTAAAAGGAAATTATTATCCACGTTTTTGTAGATGACTGACCTGGGTCACTTTTGCAGGGAGCAGGATGGTGACACTCACATTATTTGCAAAACATGCAAGTACAATGCATAGATAAATGTATATAGTTGTATGTATATAGTTAAATGTATGTAATTGTGTTTTCTAACTCTGGATTTATTAAAATATTCTGTATTGCACGTATGACAAATATGTCTGTAGGATACATGACACAAGACAGACCACCTGTACCTGTAGACTGTGCATATGTTGTCTGAAAGAAGGTAGAGGAGACATTATTATCTTGTTATAAGGCAAAAATTGGTTTGGTGGCTGAAAATATTCATCACCAAGGTCTTTTATTTTATCTATTATTTGAGGCAAACGAAATTTCAATCTAAAGGCAAAAGGTACCATCTCTTTCTGGCAAGCAGAAAAGTGCATTTTGTGTGTTGTATTAGCCTTTTAAAGGTATTTCAACAGGTGGATAAAATGATCGGTCTAAACGAGTTATATTTCTTTATTTTATATACAGCCTAACCCATCCGTAAATCATGTTAATGACAGGCTCATTCCCCAGTATGAAAAGGATAGAAATACCATCCACACAAAAAAATTGGGAACAAAGTTTTCATACTGTTATTTACTGTATAAACAGTAAATAACAGTTTTTATACTGTTATTTACTGTATAATCATTGTCCAGGCTAAATGTCATGTTCAATAAACATTCATGTTCAAGATTCACTAAGACATGCCTTTTTCTATTATCCCAGACATAAGCTGTATGTCAGACAATCACTTCGCCACAACACCGGTCATTTCATTGAGTTTGAACCTTCCTAAGCAAAAAAGACTTTTAGACCGTAGCCTCTATTAAAAAAGGCGAACAAGCAGGCCTAATTTATGCACCGCTGCTGTGGTAACGTAAGTTTAAACATGTGTCATCTAACGTTGTTATATGACCACTGTAGTTTTCTTCAACAGCCATGTCTGAGTAAGAAAATCGCTTAAACGAATCTTACATTCTGTTGTTATTGTCAGTAAATGGTTTCTAATACTTTCCTGGGTGATGCAAAAATAAATTTGCCAGTGATTTTCTTAACTGCATATTACTCCAGTGCTGAAATTAATTAATGTCATACTCATTTTCAATTTTAAGACAATTTCTTCAGAAAATATTGATTCTCCAGTTCAGGGAAAGGGTTTCTATGACAGTGATTAAATTAATCTACACCCACTTGCCAATTTATTAACGACACCTACATAAAACAAATGCAGTATAATACAACAGGCTTCATAAGGATTTTAATGTTCATTTTTTGGATTAATTCTGTTTGAAAGAGGTGTTGATTTATTATAACGGTCATTTTGGAGACTCATTCGTGGTGGAGTTGAACTGCACTGGGTTATACTGAGAGTTGTTCGTAATATTTTGTCAACCTTAATTCATATAAATGACATGGACAAAATATTGGGTTCAAGGTAACCAACAGGTTTACACTATGATCAGTGTAACTTTCTGAATATGTGACACTGTGACAGTGAGATGACTGCAGTTTCAGGTATTGCTCTTAGTTGTGTACAAAAGGAGAAACCAGGCTACTGACCACACCTACTCTGATAAGATAAACTAGTATTACCAAAATGAGTGTTTCAATCAATGGGAGTCTTTATTTGGCTGGAAGTGAGCTCCTTTTTTCGCTGTTTGGCTGCTGTCCCCTAGACCTGTCCCCTACTGGGTAACACCTGTCACTTCTCTGGAGAAACACAAACACCTGAACCTCATTCTGAAAAAAAAAAAAATGTAAGGAAAGGCACCAAGAGCTTTGCACAGTATCTAACAATAATGAGAGACAGAGATGTGATATAGTAAAAAATTATCTTTACTTTTCAGTTACATTCCCCACACATCTCTACTTGAAATCAAATGGAGGCTTTCACAGACAATCCCTCCAGACAATATGCAGAACCATTTTAATTTTTTTTTTACTATCCCTCCGCTGTTGCTGCCTTCTTCCTCTTCCTCTTCCTCCTCTTCTTCTTCCCTGGTGTGCTGTCAGTCTGTGTGGAGTCTGCAGCAGGTGTCTGTTTGTTCTCTGTCTCTGAAGCTTCAGGTCTCTTCTCACAGGTGAGTGAACTGTGTGATGTCGCCTCAGGGTCACTGTGACAAAGCAGACAAGCGAAAGACAACTGTCTAATTTCAGAGTGAAAAAGTTGATTGTCTGTATTAAAAGCTTCTGTTAAAGCTTGTACAATTCCAGTTACAGAAATAGATTTGTTTGTGCTCATTAACACTTGTGATATTTAAGTGAAAGTCATGATAATGTGACTGCAGAATTCCACAACAACTAAATTACAACTGTACTGAACACCAAAATCACAATCTCAGATAATTATTTCACTGAACATAAGATAACATAACCTCACTCACTCACTCACTCACTCACTCACTCAGTCCCTCCCTCCCTCCCTCGACTGGTCAGCTGAGTGCCTTGTCACTTGAGTTACACTTTCTAGATCAAACGGGTTTTATTTTTATTATGGGGGTGTTTGCAGCTGCAGTGTTGCTAACTAAGCTCATTGTCTCTAGAGACTTTTTATAAACAGACGGGGTATAAACCTGGTTCAGGTCTGGACCGTGTATGGATGCTGACCAGGGGCTCAGGGCTACGCCTCTTGTTACAGGCAATCTATCGAGCCACTCTGGTTTCCTGGCTGTTCAGGAACTGCAGGGAAGAGGAGGGGTGCTACCAATACACTGAGCCTCACCTCCATTACAGCAAATAAACTACTTTCATTACATGTATCATTATTACAAAAGGAGGCAGAGGAATAACTAAACAAAAGACACACTGAGCGAGAGAGAAAAGTCATCGGTAACAAGGCTTCGTACTAACGACTATGACCAACTCTACATATCAAACAGAGAGAGTTAGACATAAAGACCTGCCTCTAATAAAAGTCTGTTACGTTCTCAAGTTGAAGTAAATAAAGACTAAACTATTGTGGATCCAGATGGAGGCTGTGTTCTGTGTGACAGACTAAATAAGAAAGATAGTCCGTCTCGGGCCCCGGTGGTTCACCTAGTGGAGCGTGTGCCATTTGGGCTTAGTCCAGCCTATGGCCCTTTGCTGTGTGTCATCCTTTCTCTTTCTCCCCTTAATTTTCCCATCTCTCTCTCTTTCTTTGACTGTAATAAAAAGGCAAAAGCCTGAAAAAATAACTAAAAATAGAGAAAAAAAATAAAAGATATTCTGTCTCGTCTAACTTTCTCTCTTATAAAATCAGGATTTGACCAGAGGCGGTCAAGACATGTACCAGGTTTAGACCTGGTCTTGTTATGTTTCATTTTGTACTCTGTGTTTCTTCCATGTGTCATGTTAGATAGAATTTGTGTCTTTTTTGTAAATATTCAGACAAGTTTGTTATGTGTAGGTTGTTTTATGACATAATAAAACCAACACAGACCTACAAAACCCAAAACTCAACCTTTGCAGTGATGAAACATACAAAATCTTTTACCATTTATGCCTAAATTTATTATGAGATGATGACTGAAACACAAGTAAGCATCATACACTAAAAATAAATAACATAATTAATTGTATAATTAATAAAAAGTTAAATTTGAATGAACTCACCAAAATATGTAATGCAGATAATTTCTACTATATCTATAAATTAAATTAAATAATTGGATGTTCCTAAACACAAATCCTGAGCAAACAGGACTTTTAAATCTAGTATTTATTACATTATTTAACCCTATAGCAATGACTATACATGACACCCCAGTATTTACCTTATCTGGAGAGGTGGTCTCTGATTCATATTCCCAGCCCCACTGTGTTTCTCCAGCAAAGCCACGAAGAAGCCGTGTGAGCGGGTCTTGGAGGTGCTGGCACGCAGACACTGAGTGAGTGGTTCTAGGCCTCGTTCAGGCCACTTGGCCAGCAGAGGAACCAGCCTTGAGGAGAAAACATAAAACCATTCAAGTATTAGTTTCAACAATAATGATATTTAAAGTCCAACAGCAATACCTGCACCTTTGGGACTGATAGATGATTCCATATTCCAAGCATTTACAACTCCTCAGTGAAAGTGACTAAACAAAATAGGCAATAAAAATAATTTGCATTTGCAACTCTGTTGACTTAAGTGTCTTTGTAGTCTGTACATGGGAAATAAACATACTGGCAGTGGGTGACTCTGGCTGGCAAGTATCAGAAATGTATTGTAAGGCCAAGGTCAGGGGATCGATCTTGGGATATTGTATTATTTTGATACATAAAAAATTAGAACATAGAGTATTTTCACATCAACAACCAACATGTGGTGCTCTGACCCAAAAGTTTAGAAATCCTGCATCTGTAAAGTTACAAACTTACAAACCCTCAGTGTTTTCTCTTCTTGGCAGAGGTCACTAAAATTTCATGTAATACTGAAATTATCTCTTGAAAACAGACCAAATTCAAATTGAAGGAAAGATGCAAACGCTCTATGTGACATGACTTGGACAGCCAGTACAAAAGAGAAAGCTGGAAAGCAAATGCTCTAATGTTTGCAGATAAAAAAGCATGAATAACTTCAATTTGATTAAGTGCAAGTGGACTGCTGCTACCTGAAGCCAGGGTTCTGCTGCAGGCAGGCCTTTACGACTTCCTCATTCTCCTGGCTATGGATGGAGCAGGTGGAGTAGACCAGACGCTTCAGGCAGGGAAACCTGAGGCCGTGGTTCAGGCATCGCAGCTGAAAGGAGGCCAAAGAGGTCAGACGAGCCTGATCCTTCTCTTGGTCAGCAGAGCTGTTGTCCCGGAGGCACACCATACCTGGAGCCACAGATTATTGAAATTATATTTATTTCAATCCTAATGGGATTGCCTCTAGTACACTAGAATTCTGGGTTCTGGTTATGACATGGGTTTTTAAAAAATCCTGGTGCAGCATGTCTTGATTCTGACATGCAGATAAAGCAACACAATACATTCTGCTTACTATAAACAGAGACATTTAGACAGGTATTTATTTGATCACAATCTGCAGTCTGCACATCTGCTTCTTTGACTTCAGTGATATAATTAGTTAGAGAGAAAACCAGTATCATGACGCTGATAAAGTAATAATGTTCAACATTTTGATAAAACCAAAAGAGAGCCAGCAACTGATGGTGTAACGTAATCAGTACAAATCAGTCACAACACTCGAGACAAAGTTTTAACCATTTCTTAAAATAGTTGCAATAACAGCTCGCAAAAGTGAAGATATTGTAATAGCATCTCGTCAGGCAGCTTGGGAAGATACTGAGACTGAGCTCAACACATGTTGTCCATATGTGCCTGCAATTTGCCTTTTCCTCCCTATGTTCAGCACTTTCTGAGCACCAAAAGCTGCATTTCAATTTTTGCATGTACATTGATGCCTCCAACTTTTATCTGTTTGAGCCCTTTAACAGCTCTGATTTACCACTGGGTAAACACAGCAATAACCAGATAGTGCTGCTCTGCTCCTGTGATGCAAATCTGTGCAAGCTAGACGGAGACCTGACTCTGACCCAGTTATCCCGGCCGGGAAGATCGAGGAAATGAAAACTATAGGATGCAGACAGTGGCTGTGACTATGAAACAATATACACGTTCCATAGATAAAGAGGGATGTCAAAGACCTGAAAAGACAGCAGGCATGTGATCAGAAACCTGTATCATACACACAGTGAACTGGTTACTGTACCTGATCCACTGCATGAGGGATCCAGCAGGATATACTCAACATCTTTATACTGTAGGCTATCAGGGTCCACTTTCAGGAAGTCCTGGTGGGCCAGCTGCTGACAGGTCACTCCAGCTCGGAGCAGGAGAGTAGACATGGTGGCCAAACGCTTGGCATCCAAATCAAAGGCAAACAGCTTGCCCTTGTTCTTCATTATAGCTGCCAGGTGGCTGGTTTTGTTGCCAGGGGCAGCGCAGGCATCAATGACATGGCTGCCAGGAGGGGGGTTGAGGAGATAGGCAGGGAGGCAGCTGGCTTTGTCTTGCAGAATGACGTGGCCAGCCTTGTACAGGAAGTGGTCATGGAAGTCAGTTTTAGGAGAAAAGACCAGCACCTCCGGCAAGTGCAGGTCCCTCACAAAGTCTTTCTCCTTTAGGGTTAAGTCCTCCAGCCTGGAGGCCTGTCCCTGGTAGGAGAAGCCGTCCCTCTTAAGGTAATCCACAGCATCCTCCACGGTGGTCTTCAGGGTGTTCACACGCACATACCTGGGCAGGTGGTCCACGGCGGACCGCTGGACTACGGCCGGCAGCAGGTCTTCATTCCTGCTGACCTTCTGCTTTATCTTTATGCGGGCCAGCTCCGCCTGCAGCCTGGAGCGATGTTTCAGCATTGTGGACTTCCAGGAGCCCCCGCACTTCAGCCCCTGGCCCATCACCAGGTCGTACACCAGCACCATGGCCAGGTGCATCTTCAGCTTGGTGTGTTTGAGCAGCTTGGTGGACTCGATGAGCTCCCGCAGGACGGAGGAAAACTTCTGGGTCTCACAAACCAGAGCAAAGAGCTGCTTGATGTTCGCAAACTTACTGTCGTAAACCAGAGTTTTCAATGCGCCTTGCTTCCTCTCTGCTTTCTCCAGGATCTCTGCGGCTTTCACGTACAAAGCCATGGTGAAAGCCAACCGGTAGCTAGCGAAGGACCCAGATTAGCTCGTACTTTTTGAACCGATTACTGGTGTTTCACTGGTGAGGACGGGCCTGACTGGTCCTGCCGCAGCCTCCTCGTCCTCTCTCTGTCGCGGTGAACAGGGGACACGCAGCGGGTTTATTTTTCTCAATAATGTTTTAAAAGATGCTCGTTGTCACTTTTCTACCATGCACATGGCAGAAAACGGGTCATCACACCGGAAGTACATGCTGGCGCACTGTTTTTGTCTGACGTAGGCGGCCTGTCCAGCCAATCATTGATGACAACAGAATGGTGACGACTTTCCCTAAAACACATATTATAGACGTTTACTTTACAGCAATGTTAGTCATTTTCTGAAAATTCAAAAATGTTCAAATTCATTGCATTTCAATGTAATGTGTTTTGGTTTCCCAAAATCATCTTAGTAACATATTTTTCTATGGTAGAATTAATGCTTTGCAATCTATTCAATCTAGGGTTCTCAGGATAAACTACTTACACTGCTAAAGTGACTTTCTTTCCACCCTTTCCACCCTACACCCAGACAGTGCAGTTACCAAACACAGAAACTGACCTGAACATGAAAACTGTGGCCATAAATACAAAAAACTGTAGAAAAAATATCTTTATTCTTTAATACAAGTCAAGTCTCTGGATATCAAGTGACTAAAATTCACACTAGTGTTAGCAGAATATGGACAATTATCACTGCAATAAAATCTGTCAGCTGTTATTGTTATGTGAACTTTAGTTTGTTCAATCTATTAGAGTCAAACTAAGATGTAGAATGACCTTTCCCATCGACAGCTCATAAATCAAGGCTCTTGAGAAAACCATTCATTGGTGTGCCTCTAATCCATTACTGACCAATAAAATATATATATATATATTAAGAACTTATAAAAGACTTATAAAATAAACTTTTACAAAAACAAAAACTGAAAAAAGTGCAGTATTATTCAATTTAATGTCAAGTGACCTGATATAGTCCATCTGCACTTGGTGTACAGCACGCAAAACAAATTACAATGAGCTTATAAATTTACAGTCCATTTTCTGGCACATATTAATCACTTAAACTTTTGCTTTAGGGACTGACTAGCCATGCACTCACTATGTGATTCACTAGCCAAACAGAAAAGCAATAAATATTTAATTTCTGCATCAAGTGAAACACAGGCTGATTGTAAAGCTCTGATATGTAGCACTTTTATTGCATAAAGTTATTCTTATGGCATTAAGGTAGATTTGTGCTTTGCTGTCTGTTACAGTGTCTTTTTAATACAATCAGTGGGAGCAAGAACATTTCATATCCTACACATGAGGACACTGATCAGTCTTCATTTCCTCCTCTGTCTGTGGGATGGCAGTGACAGCACAAAGTCTTCACAGAACTGAAAAAATATAAGTTTGACCTCTGATGGTAGGTAACTGGTTGTTATTGTGTTCAGCTTGTTTTTTAAAGAGATATTCACCACCCTCACTTTCAATACACTTAATATAGTTTGCTTCTGTTGCCTACTACTGCAAGGTTGAATGATGCTTAATTTAGTTAGTTTAATCTAATGTTGGAAGAAATTTAATTCAGTGGGATGCTGTATGGAGAAGCAAGTGTGGAGGACAGAATAACCAGACCCAATAGTGAGTTGACCATCAGTGTTTAGTGACACCGATGGGCTTTTTAACAGTCTTTGTCTTTAAAGAGTTTTTGTATAGAAGCAATCTCTCTGTGGTGTGAGGTGGCAGGCGGTTCCTCTTGGCTCTTACAATACATGCTGCCATTGGATAGAGCCGGTCGAAGCCCCCTGAGGTGGCTGGTACTGCTAGCAGCTTCTTGGCAATGCCCTGGAGCTCGGGGAAGCGAGTAGCAGCCTTCCAGTAAAGCACACTGGAGTTGCTCTCCCACAGTGGTTCGGACAGGTACACATCAAGCTCTGACCTCTTCATGGTCTTTGCAGGTGGCTGGAGGAAGTTGAAGATGGACTTGCGCTTCAGGTCGTTTCCACTGACTCCGTCGTAGTTGTTTTCATCTGAGCTGGCACCAGATGCCTCTATTAGTGTGTTGGATTGGTTTTCCTGTTCACCATCCTGCCCCTTTTTCAACTCCTTGTTTGTCTGGTCTTTATCTGCTTCCACATAGGGAGATGCTGAGGCCTCCATGCTTTCTAATGTGGCTTCCACGATGGTACGAGCCTGATACTTTGACAGAGGAGTTAAGAAACCTGTCTGGTCCTCCAGTTTGGCATCAGAAAACGGCTGGAAAAAATGTTCAAGACAGGGTGAGAGTTCTGACTCTGAGTGTATGACTACAGTTTTTCTCTGATATACTCCATATAAAAATAGACGTCAATATAGAGCTCAATATATACACAGGGTTTTTCCTGGCCGAAAATTAGGCAGGGGTGGTACCAAGCCGTACGACCGGGGGATATATTTTCATTATCTCTCCAGCCAATGCGGGTCAATGCCACTCACTCTATGCTTTTCAGAACATCTGGGAAGATTAATAAAAACTGATGTTAAAATCATGTAAATGTCGGCTTAAATACACTCGTTAATACCGGCACCTTCCACTTGTGGCTGAGAACTACTTTCAGTCCTGACAAATTAACCATATCTCGTCAGTAACATGAATAAACATTTTTTCCCATATTAGAACTATTGATGTCTGCACTCTCTGCATTTCGATTCTCCTCCTCGTGAACTTTTTAAAATAATCTGTGATTTGAGACATTTCTGCAAAAAAAAAAAAAAAATGCCCGATGGGGTTGAACGTTAATTTAGGGGAAACTTTTCAAGAAGCTGGGTGTGCTTGGATGTAAAAGAGATAATATTCATCTGTAGTGTTGCCAGCTTTTATGTGAAAAAATCCTTTTACGTAAAAAAAGGTGGCAACTGGTTTGGTTTTACTTGACAATACGTTATTCACAGCACTTTGAGGACATAACATGAACGAAAATACTGGACAAATTGCGTCCTGTCTCGTATTTAAAAATATGAGACGATCCCGTATTATACGGGGTGTGTGGCAACCCTATTCACCTGTTTGAAGAGCCGCAAAATCAGGTCGCTGCCTCCTTCCGCAGGCAGAAAATCCAGCGCGTTCGTATTCTTCTTCGGCAATTTCGGATGGCTCTGCCTGATGCACGGATAACGATACAGCGCCACTACATTGCTGAGTGCTGCAATTGCAGTTACAAAAGTCAAATCCACCGAGTACCGAGAAAACAAGTACTATAATTTTGTCAGGAGGCGGAGGCAGCACGAAATTTGATGGAGGCAGCCACCTTCCAATTCTCTATGCAGGAAAAACCCTGCTACAAAAAAGAATGTAAAACTGGAAAAAAGGATGAAAACTTGCAGCCCATTATTTCAGTTCATCAGCTCTGTGGATGCAAAATTTAAAGTATGACAGAACAGCCAGGTCTCTCCAAATTAAGTACCTGCATTTTGATCCTAGGGTCAAGCACAGCAGCTAGTATCATGTCCTTCTGGTGAATCAGGGATTGGAAGTGTGTGTGGAGGCCTGTGCGCAGGGCCTTGTTGAAGTGAGTGTAGTTGGTAACACGGCTCTCCAAGGTCTTATCAAGGCCAATGAGGGAGGGTATGATAAAAGAGATGGTCACACCATTTCCTTGCAGGACCTGGGTTAGAAGAGGCAAAAAGGATTCTCTTTACATAAGCTGCTATCTCAAGCTGTTTATAAAAGTTTGTGACAACTGAAGCTGCAATCTACACACAGAAAGTTTTCCTTTTAGCTTGTTCATAACAGCTCACTATTAGCTGAACATTAGTCAGAAAAGGCAATCTGGAACTTGGTGTCCAGAAAGGCCAAAACTATATTAGGATTTAGTGAAAAAAAACATTCCCACTACATCCATAATACATAAAGTTCTCATTAACTTTCTCTTTTACCTGCAAGGCCTCCTCAAATGGCTCAATGAGACTCAGGATGTCAATCACTTGTTCCCTCCTGACCATGACCAGAGGTGGAGCACTGGCTGTGTCATTAGCCTCTATGCGAGCCTGGGCAAGAAGCGTCATAATGGCGCTCCAGGCCGACTCCTGGACCATACGGCGTAAAGACAGCATCATGGAGTTCCAGCGGCAATTACTGGAAGAAGGGCACAGAGACACGCTGCACTCCCTCAACAATACCTAAACAAAAAATGACAGACAATAGTTGTGTTAAAACAAGTCAGGAAAGGAATATCTGATCTATTTAAATCTCTGTTGCTCTGTTGTCACTGAAAAGTGTAAAGTAATGTGAAAAGTCTAAAAAATCATGATGACATATGCTTGTCACAGGAAATGAGTTGGGAAAGAAAAACAGTGGTGACAGTTTGAACACCAACACTTGAAAATGAGACTTAATGAGATATTTGGTTTATAGTACAAGAAACTAAAACCTAAAAGAAAAAAATGCCACTTATTTGAATCTCCACCAAACAAATAAAACATTTTTACATTACAATCTACAGGAGGACTACACTGTCTTGTCAACTGTGTCTGTTCTCCCGTTAATTTGCTGCCTCAAACAGTACGATGTCAAAGTTTAACTTGTGATTTCACACCAATGAACATCCAACAAATAAACCTTTAAACACACCCAGGAAAAAAAGCCCATCTCTCTCAGGTCAGGTGCAAGTTTGACTTGTTTAAACATTTGACCAAACCTTGCTGGCTCAGGACACTGAAATTAATTCATAAAAACTTAATTAAAACTGGTCACCCTGGTACTGCTGCCTCATCTTTGGATGTAGAATCTGTAAATCTGTGACATTACATTTTAATCTGTTCATGTTTCTCTTACCTCACTCCAGTAGGCACTGCTCCTAAAGAAAGCCACCACGTTGTGGACCTGTGAGAGCAGGTTCTCCACTACCCTGGAATTCTTCAGTGCCTCCTTGATCACCAGCTGCAGTGTTTTGGCCACACAGATGGTTCGGGTCCCGATCTGAAGCTCTGAAAAGGGGGACCCTGGTTCTGACAACTGGTCTGACAAAAATGCCACTATCTCATCTCCATCTGGTTCTCCCCTGTTGGATGAGCACATGATCTTGTAGTCGCAGAATAAGTTGTTCCCAGCCAGGGTGTCTTTGGCCTGGTTGGCAAGTACATAGCCAATGCTGTGTGAAAATATGCCATAGCTCAGAAGCACACCTTCAAGCTCTCTGGCTACAGCAGTGCTGAGGTTTTTGTGGGTGAGGTGACGGAAAGCCACAATGGGACGGCGGATCTGCCAGGAATCACTGACAAAGTGGAGCTGCACAATGATGATGGGCTCCTCCACTGGTTGGGATTGATCCCCAGCCCAGAGGTCAAAGGTGACATGAATGGCATTCTCACCATCTTTGGTTCTGGCAAGGCAGGCTTTAAGGTCACGGATGAGCTGAGGCTTAATGGTTCTCTCCACATCATCATAGAGCTGCAGGCCCATGGCACGCTGGGACAGCTTGTTGTATTCAGGACTAATGGTGCTCATGAAAGACCTGAAGCCTGCTCCTTCAACAAAACTGTGGAGAACAAAGACACACTGGCATTGTAAATTTTCTAATGCAGTGTGATCTAGATTGGTGATTGGATTTCTATCTTAACATGTTGTAGACATACAAGTAGCTAGTTAGCCTTTCTGCATCAGGTGGTGGCGAATGTGTTGAGCACAGTAACACACATACAACACCACATAGACATTAGCCACTAGCACTAAAAGTCACCTGAGTGGCAGCATGTCCTCAGCGATCATCCTCAATGCCGCATCAGCAAACTTCTTCTGGTCTACTGGTGCGGCTGCTCGTGGAGCACCTGAGCTGGAACTGGGGCTGGAACTCGAACTGGGAGGCAAGGTCGGACTCAGAGAGGAAAACTCTCTCCTTGATGCCAAAGTCTGTGGAGATGGAACAGCTGTCTGCTGCTTGGCTTTCTCCTTCTGTTTCTTCTCTTTCACTGTCCTGACCTGCAGCAAAGCAATAAGTAGGAGTGTGAAACCAAGATTATCAGATGAGGATATCTAGGAGGAAAATATAAAAACATTTAGAAGTTTTTCTAGTGTTGTCACACACCCAAACCACCTCTTGATTTTACAACAAAAAGTGAAAAAATTAAACAACAGAAAGCTTACCACTTCAGGAGTTACTGGTTCAGTGTCTAATACAACATCACATTTGAAGTCCACCTGTAAAAAAAACAACATATAATGTAAATCCAGAGTGTAAGGACTTCATGAGAACCGATCCTCTGGTACCAAACCGATGCCTCAATTCTGAAAATTCTGCTGGTACTTGTTTTTCTACAGCAACATCGATGTCGTAGGCACTAAAAATGTGATTCTTCCGGGAATGACAAGGGTATTATAATGACCCTACAAGTGTCCTAGTCTGACATCCAACTCAAAGAGAATAAGGAGGCAGGTACAGTGAACAATAAAGACATGTGGAATGGCAGCAGCAACACAGTGAGACTGGTGTATGGAGATATTTTGTATTTGATGTGGATTGTTGAGACGAGTTACAGACAACCAAAAAGCAGTATGCAGCGTTTCAAATGAAAGGAGGAAACACCTCAGACTTATCTCAGCTCAAAGACAAGCATCCGGATCTGTATATAGAATTCAGGGTGAGTAAGTTTCAGTTGTTAATTTTATACTAACATGTCGTTAAAATATAACATTGACTTTTTAAATGCTTGTTTTCATACTACGCACGCACGCACACACACACTCACACACATTCCATAAGAAATCGAGATTCATTAGATCAGGCTATGTTTTTCGAGTCTTTCCAATCCCAGCATTTTATGCATTGCTCTGCTGCCACATGATTCGCTGATTGGATAATTAAATGAATAAGCAGGTGTATAGATGTCCCTGATAAAGTGCTTGGTGGTCGAATTTGCATTTTCCAAACTGTAACCAACAAACATTTTACCAGCTACATCCTAATGACAATTAATCAACAGGAAATCAGTAAAAACTGAATAATATGAGCCATATACAGCATGTACTAAATTCAATTCAGTTCAGCACTATACCTCTCCTTCCACAAACTGTTGAATATCAAGAGAAATGCTGTTAGCGTCGTCTTTGTACAGGCCCAACTCAGCTTTACGTTTGATGGTGGCGTTCCAGTGATTCTTCACAGAATTGTCTGTCCTTCAAGAGGAATCGAAAATGTACATTAAATTCTCTGTGTCATCCCTAGTTAAAACAGACATATTTTAAGAGTAACAACAAAATAATGCATGTGACTGCCCATCATCCGCCTCGTTTCAACAAATCAATCACTGCTACCTAACCCACCTTCCAGGAAGCAGCTTGGCGATCTCAGCCCACCGGTTTCCCAGAATGGAGTGGGCTTTGTAGATAATGAGGTCTTCTTCATTGGTCCAGGAGCTCTTTTTCACCAGTGGGTCAAGGTGGTTGTGCCAGCGCTCGCGACACTGTTTCCCCAACCTTCCTTTCAAGTGCCTGGCAATCAAAGTCCAGTGCCTGGTGCCATACTTGCCCACTAGCTCTATTATCTATCCAGAGTAAATACATATCCAAACACCAATGTATAAAGTGAGATAGGACAATATTAACTAAAAACTGTGGAAAGTCTGTATCTGATTTTGTGTGTAATTCTTCCACCTTTTCATCTTCCTCTTTGGACCAGAAGCCTTTGACTAAATCAGGATCAAGGTGTTTTTTCCAGCGGAGCATACACTGGAATTCTGTCCGTCCCTGTCACAGCAACAGGAAATTAACTCTTCTTTCTAAAATGCTAAGACAGGTTGCTGAATTATTCAAGATTAAAATAATCAAACACAGAGACATTGGTTAGAATTCTGAGATTTTTCTGAGATTTGCAATATTTAAGATTAACAACATGACAGACACATGGCTGTAATCCCTCTGGAATTCTTCTGTTTTATCAACCTTTACAGGTTCACGTTGCTGGTTCATTCATTCTCCTGTTCTCAACTGATTTTGTTTCTACTGAATACTTACAGGTAAAAAACTGGCAATGGTTTTCCAATCTTTTTTCCCAAAGTTGCTTATCAGGATTTTGAGATTTTCATCCTGAAAACAATAAGAAAATTAGTTCAGACACAGTATAATTTAATGTGAGCTTTAAGGTCAGCTCACAGGTACAGGTTATCATGAACACATTGTTTTTAGTTTATTACTTTTAAGATTAGCTAATAAATCAACAGAAACCTATGTGAAAAATTTCTTGAGCACAAGTTGCCACCTCTGCTTAAATCGGCTCTTCCTCTTATACTTCCTCCACTAATATAGTAAGCTACTTGAAATCATAGTGAGTGGCTCCAGATAACATCTTCTGATGAGTGTCTAAAATATAAATATTACAGTATTGTGAGGACAAAAGTTGTTTAAAGTCTTTTCACTCACCTCTTCCTGAGTCCATTTGACTTTACACTTGGTCCCATCCTTCTTCTCTGCTGTGTCCGAGTCAGTGTCAATGCACAGATTACTCTCCCCCTCTTCTTCCATGCTGCAAACACGCACAATCATGTATTCCTGGATTTCAACATTACAAGATGGCAAAGAGTGAAAAGACACAGTAGAGAACGATTTGACATCTTTCAACACAATGAAGACAATGAACATTTGATACATATGAAAATATGATATGGTTGATATGGACTTCAGAAAGGTTCTGTTTTGAAATGTAATTCTAAACCTCATGTTTACCTATCGAATTAAAAAAACAGCAAACATTCCACTCTCTTTGGACTATTTGTGTCAACTGCTACAGTTAAAGCATCCCAAGATTAAAACACTATTAGAATGCCACTTCAGGCTAAAGTCAGTTAAAACTTGCACTCTATAGTATACTCCACAACGCCACTACTCACATCATAAATACCCTGCAAGTTAGCTTCATAGTCTATGGAAAAAACAACAATGCATGTACTTTACAGGGGTACTCAAAAGGATTGGTAAATATATCTGTTCTCTTGTATGTAAATTCCAAATTATCTGACCTAAAATTCAGTAATTATGCAATATGTTGGTGTCAGACCTTCACATGTCATTATGGTGCATAATTCCTATCGTCCTATTCCACAATGTCAAGCAACATCTGCTGTACACAGCTAAACAAAATGGCTACAGTGGTTTGAAGTCAAAATGCTTTGCCTCTGGTATTTCCATAACCAAACATTCAGAAAGTCATCTGAAAGTAAAATTCCTCCTCTGTCATCCCTTAAAACAGTTTCTTTGGTGACTGACCTTATCTTTTGCTCATGCCAAAAAATCATTTAAACATATACAGAATAAACACTAAAGAAACAAATACAGTACAAAGGCAGGGCTGAATATTGCAAAGGGATACAAATATATGTTCAATCTTTGATGACAGCAGAAATGAGTGTCTACTCAATGCTGCCAACAGAGTGGCAGTCCGATGTAACTATTTCTTAATCTGTCTATATATTCAGTGTCAATCAAAACATGCTTGCTCAATATTACAATCTGTAACAGTTTCCAACAACTCCATCAGTCATTACACTTCTGTATGATGAAGTTAGCTATATGGTGGCTAAAAGAAAGTATGTGAATGGTTTTCACAGGAAATTGACACTTTTCATTAATGCAAAAATTAAGTTTTGGAGCCCAGTTTTACTTTCCTATTCTATACAAGTCAGACAACATTTAACATTTTCTCTGCAATGTGCTCAAAGAGATAACTTAGGTTTGCTGGTAACTCTTGAAGCCAATGAGGACAAAGTTGCCATAACTGTTTTGTAAACAGCAAAGACACAGACACTTACATGCTCATATAATTACTATGAGCGCCTATTACCTATCTAACTCTTCACGGTTTCCTTAAGTACAAAGCCTGTGTAACTTACTCTGCTGTACCGAAACCTCCTCAATAAGCATGCATGTTGTACTCTACAGCACTGAGCTACGTGCCCACAGAAAACCTGAGACAGCTTAGCAGCTAAAATTAGCTGTTGCAAACCAAACCATTACTTGGACATGAATATGAAACTTTAGCTAAATATCTAAACAATAGAATGCAAAACTCTAAAGACAAAATCACTGCGATTGATTTGCCAAAACTGAGTGACAAACTACATAGCTTACATTCCAACTTGGCTGTAACTTCAAGCGAGCTAACAGTTGCTAACTAGCAGCTCTCTTCAACACGCTTGAGGAAATAGTTAACTGACAGTACAGAAAGTAGAATGCCTCTAGCGGCACAAGTACGCACATTTAATAAACCTGCCCGAAATTCCTATAGGCAAAAATGAGATTTTTATGATAATTTCGATATTTGTGACTAGAACATAGAAAGTTAGCTGACATGATAGTAGGGAGGATACAGAAATTCCTACCTAAATTTCAGATTGTGCATTTGCTTCTGGAAAACAGCCGGGTCCAGCTTCTCCAGTTCACTACCATGAGACAACAGAAACAACGGCTTTTAAACGGACATGAGGGAGAGCAAACACTCACTCACGTTCTGATATAGACAACAAAGCAAAGCAACCACTTCATTTAAAGCTGTAGCGATGGTTGAATATAAATGATCATAGCTGTGAGACGTTGCCACCTTCAGCATAGCACAAACATACACTTTCTCAATAAGGCAACGTCAACATCCTCATTCGTTTGTTTCCCTCTTACCCGCGCGACATCCCTCCGCTGTATCGCCAATCTCTGCCCCAGAAACTCAGCCTGTACCTGCTAACTGTAACAGTTTAATAGTAACTACAACACACACGCTGAACGCAATGTATATACAAGTTACTGAAATTAAGAAACAGTTCAGGAACTCGTAGCGTTGTGTGAGTAAAAATTTACCCGGGACTGAGACAGTGAGGTCTGTTCAAGAACACTAGGGCTGCACACACAGTCGCATACATTCTCCGGAAATGGTCAATGTGACTGACGGTTACAACCGACACAAACAGCTAACGGTTGCTGTTGACCAGAAATGTTGCTCTTTACTGTATTCAGGTCTAGACTTTCCTACTTTATCTTCCCAAACCTGTTTAGAAAAAATAACCATCCTTAATCAAACATTCATGGACGTTTACTTGAATGTGAAGACAACACTAGTTTAGCATTAGGGACATTTTAACTAAACTAAATTAACCTCTTTGTGAACTCACTGGTGGGTGTCTTTTCTGCTAGGCTACATGCTAGCACTGCTAAGCACAGCTCAAACCCATATAACTTTATTTTGAGTTTTAATGAAGACCTCAACTTTTCTAAAGATGGCAATTCCAGCATATGTAAGCAAAGGCAAATATGTATAAAAGGACGCAGTTTAGCGTAAATGTAAATTTTAAGATTTATAAATATTGATAACATGTACTTTTTGTAAGACTGAACAAGAAAGCATAACTCATCTGTGCTACAGTTGCTCATATTGTATTACATTCTGGAATGACTTTGAAAGTTACACAAAACAAAACGTGTCATTAACATTTAAAATATATATATATTCACTTATTTTGAATTTAAGGAAAACATTTTTATGCAATGTTGTTAACCTAATTTTACTGGGAAAATTTCATATTCATGAGACAAATTTCCTCATTTATGTTGTTTTTAATTGATCTTGAAAGTTACTTTGAGTCTCTCAAATTTGTAACAAACAAGAAGTCCATGTCAGCACTTAATATCTATTCTGAAATGTTTGTCTGAACAAGTCTGTCACTTAAGAAATGAAGCAATTGTCCTTTTTGAAATTTATTTATTTGTTCTTTTCTTAATTATTTTTCCTTTTTTGGTTGAAGTTCTATCTGTTTCCTTCCTATTAAAAAAAATATATGTCTGATTGATGGCAAAGTTTCCAATTTAAATAAAGGAAAAAATGGAAGCAGTTCAGATTTTTTAAGTTTAAAGTGGTGGCACAGCAAAAACGTTTAGACAAAACTGCAGAAGACCATAACAATTGTTGAATTAATACCACAAAATGCCAATAGATCAGATGCACAGGTGTGTACAATATACTAGGCTATCTCATTTTATGTTATTTTAAGAATATTTTACCATATTTCTCTAACACTCACATCATAAGGTCAATAAAGTCATGTTAGTTCCAAACTGATCCATGTAAGTATCCTTTTAGTAGTGGTTTATAACACACTATAATGTAGTTGTAAGCAGACAAGAGGATGTTTTAAGTATTGATGTACAGTATATTGTAACAATTATGTGATTCATTAGCCATTTACACAACAGCCTTGGAAGTGCCCTGAGGAGAAATTACAGTTGTTTACAAACACATTAATAAACACTTATAGCTCCTTATATTATGTAACAATCTTTAAATACTAAATAGGAGGGTATTAAAGTAAAGTGTTACCCATTTTATTTAAGTCAGCTTCATTTCTGCTTTAATAGCTGAATGCATCTGATTTGCCACATGAAGGCACGTGCACAACTGGCTATATTTTGAGTCAGAGTTCACAGCATTTAATTTTGCCTGTGTGTGTGTATGTATTCTTGTGAAGGAATTTCTCCGTCTAGTCTTATTATGTAGGTTCACATTCATAATGTAAGAGTTCAGGACATAAAAAGGCCTCATAGTGTTATACAATGCAAACTTTTAGCCACAATTATGACTGATAGTGTCCAGCCCACCATTTTTATCCTCCCTTGCTACAGTAACCAAGGTCTGTAGGGAAAAAGCATAACTGACCAAATCCAGTTCCACGTAAGGATGAATGAAATCAGACCAAGGGTATGAGATGTGTGGCAGTCGGTAGGTAAGACTTGACTATGTTCAGGTAAGTGACCAATAGAATCTTCACACATATAGGTTAAGACTATGGACTAGCCTTATTCGGGTAGTGATACCTAGGACTATATACCAGCAGCGGAGCCAGACATTGTTAACATTCAGGGCTTAGCCCCAACTTCAGTCTATATTCACAGGGATTTTTTTCCCCATTCACAGCAGCTAAATGCACTATTTACTGTATCAAGCCATTTGTACAGTACATCATTTGGGGAAAACATGATAGTTTCCCAGGAAAAAAATCACCCAGAGTCTGCATCATATTTTGAATTTATTGTTCTCTGTCTCCATCATTCTGAAAGCACAACACAACAAATTTTGTCAATGACCAATGCCACAGAAATAGAGGCAAAAATTGTCTGATGTTTACATGTCATAGGTGGGGAATGAATTTGGCATAAACAGCATAACTAATCTTGACGCCTTTTTTGTTACTTTGAGTCTCTCAAATTTGAAACAAACAAGAAGTACAGTTCACAGATTAGATGTTTAGATGACAAAACTACATTTAAATCCAGACCAAATGAATATGTGCTGCTCTAACTGAGCAGTCATGAATCCACAACAAGGCCAAGTAAATGTATTAACGACACTGAACTGAATATAAGGCCAACAGAAGAACATTTACTCTAATGATATTACATTTCTCTAAGGAAATAGCATCATATGATAAACAATATGGACATGTACTGTAATATTATCAGACAGTATTTTATTTGATCTACTCCTATCACTCTGTTCTCATTTCCTCCTCTTTTCTTCTTCTTTCACTCTCTCAGCCCCACTCATCTACCACTGGAAATGTGCTCCAAATATAAAACAAAGAGCGTTTTAATATTTTTCTGATCATAAACTGAAGATGTAAAAATATTAAATCTTATTCTCTTACATCTGCTCCACCTGTGCTCTCCTTTCCTCTTCTCTTCAAACCATGTCAACAAATTTTCATCTCCTGTCTATAGAGGTAGATTAGTGTCAATAATAGCCTATTTGTGTAAAGAGATTGACAATCAGTGAGTAAATGTGTAATCTGTAAATATAAAACACCTTCCACAAATAGGCCTATAAAAATCAATTTGTAAACTCACAAAAATATTTTGCAATTATAAAACGGTCTGCAAATACACAAACTCCATGAATAAAAACATATCTGTGAATATATTCAATTAATTTACTAATGAATGAAAAGCATTTCTGAATATCTTCCTCACATTTACAACTTTCAAACAGACATTTGTGAATCAATTTTCTATTTATGAAGCGAAAAAGCAGTTTGAATGAAAATCGACTACATCATCTTTTTTGGTGTTTATTGGCAGTTGGCAAACCAGCTTATAGGTGCATACTGGACTGGAGTGTGGATCAGGATGCAGGGAAAGAAAAAAACAGAAAAAAAAGAGTGCCCCAAGAGACCTGACATTGTGTCAGCAACAATTGGTGACAAGTACATTAACAACGGTTGTAAGATATGATGTGACAGGACCTACTTAAGGTCTTTGAAAGTATGGCTGTCAGGTTGATATTTGTTTGTTAAGAAAAGAAGTGACGTCACACAGAGTGAGTGATGTCACACTGAGTGAGTGACATCACACAGAGTGGGGAAAAGCTGTTCAACTGCTCTGAAAGATTTCATTTTAAAATCATCCTCACAGCCACAAAGTTTCCAAAAAATAAAATAATGCATATCACAGCAGATCTTTGTGTCATTTATGCCCTGGTGAAACAAGCCGCTGCCACTGCCCCAGACAGACAAACAGGTGACAAGGAAGTGGGAAGCTCACATAGGTGCCTCAAGTGTTCTTTGTTCTGTGTCCTTAGCTCATTCTCCTTTTGCCCTTCAGCTGAGCTGGTTCCCTCTATCATTTCACTTTTGTTCCTGAATGCATTGAGTGAGTTTATTTCAATAATCCTCAAGTCATGTTTATTCTATTGTTAAGTAGTATCTAATCTCCTTGGTTTGTTCTCACATGATTATACAATGTATTGATTTACTGATTTTTGATTTAGAATTGCTCATTGTTGTTGTTTATTCAAGATTATATGACAGAATTTGACCGGTATGTGCCCTTTCTTTTATTTGTAGAAATATAACCACTCAGCTGTAACTACTCACACCTGACTGACTGCAAACAAAAGATTAATACTTTGAAATGGAAAAAGCTGACAGCTTCTCCTGCTTTGCTCATATTCATCAAGTCAAGTCCAGTGTAATACCAGAACACATACGTGTGGAAGATTACATTTTCATTTTAAAGTTACATGATCATTTGACTAAGATCCCAAATAGGCTTCTATAATGACTTTTGGTGCGTTCCATTTACCTCAGAAGTCGGTGGTGGGAATGACGTCACACCCGAGTTATCAGCGTTTCAGTTACAAAGTCGGAAAAAAATAGCCAACGGCCTAAAACGGAAGCGGAAACAAGATGGCTACATCTACGAAAGTTATTCTCGGGCTTGCCCGACTTCCGAGTACAACTGGAACGCACTATAAGGGTGGAACACTATATCATAATCATGGATTGTGCATTCAAAGGAGAATCCAACGCTTTTTAAGAATTCCTGTGCCCCAGAACAGATTGGTGAATATTTGTGAACATGCAGCACTCTTGTTTAAAGTTAGAAACCAAAGGGAGAACCTTAAAATGTGTAATGTCATCCCGGTTTGCTCCATATTAATGAATGAGACTTTGATTGACACTGTGAGGTGATGTTTTTGTAATTTCTTACACCAAAATGAGTATTTCATATCTTAAACTTGGTGTCGAATTTAAAATCTGCATGAGATCTGTTAGGAGATACACAACACAGCTATTGTAGATTATGGGGTTAGTGGGGTAACGCATTTCTCCCAGTGCTTCATAGTAAATTGAGCTACAAAACTTCAGTATCCTGGCTGATGAAAACAAGTCTTTGGCTTTTTTAGAATATGACATTGGCAAGTCTATACTTCCATAGTATGTTTTTCCACTGTAAAATTGCACTCATTAGCTCTTAATGTGGGGGGTTCAATTAAAAAGTGCATTCAACATAATTTGTCACTTATGACATTTAATTGATATTTTA